TATATGGCTTTCGCTTCAGTTTTAATACAAAAGCAGAAAGCAGAAAAGTAGAAGACGATCGTCGGCTTCTCCTGTTTTTGTTTTTTTACGCTGATCTTGCTTGACGGCGACACCCATCGCGAGCAAGCTTTTGGTGTTTCCGATCTTACTTGGAAGGATTGCCTGTCCTCAGCTATCTGTCCTCGACTCTGTTTTCAGGGTTGCGTCCCCAGCTTGGACAAAGCTCCGGCCCCTGATACAAATTGGCCATGCAGCGCAGGCGCTGCCTCCACTCCCTTCCTCCCCTTCCCACTCCCATTCCCCCTCTCCCTCCCCCACCCCTCCCGCCCCGAGGGGAGGGTCGGCGGGTATGACGCGGCCCGGGGCGGGCGAGGCGCCGCCGGGGTGCGTGCGCACCAAAGACGTTGGGGGCCGAAAGTTGGGGAGCAAAAGACGGCGCGTTACCCTGCTAAAAATACCGCCATGGCCGAGAAGAGTCCGCGACTGGGCCGCTGCGGGCTGCGGGGCGCCGCGTCGACGGTAACCTCGAGGCCTTGACTTCGACGACCTCCCACCAGAGCGGCCATAGCCATTTTCCGTCGTCAAAAAAGAGGCCAAGCCAACACTTCTACTTCTTATGAATAAATGATGATGCTAAGCTGCTAGTTTTTAGACGTCAAAAGTTAAACCATCTCAAGCTGCTTAGACTCTAAAAGTTCAATCTGATTGGTAACGTTGAAAGTCAAAGCAGAACTGGCAATAAACGCAATTCCAGTAACATTCATTCTATAATTTTGGAGTGGAAATAAGCGAACGACAGTGTGTGTATATCGTCACGCCACCCTTACTGACCTACCCCAACTGGTAGCACTAGCACTGGCTGGTCGGCACCCGTTGCAGAGCTGCCAACAGACGGATTATTCGCAGCTTCTGGCCTGTGGCGGCCCACTCCCCACTCCACCTCACTCTGCCTCACCCCGCCCCGCCCCACCCGCACCCCTGCGCGGACGGGAGCTGATCCTTTTCGCGGCGTCTTCTCCGTGAGCCGTTTGATCGTTGCCGCAGCGCAAACTCTGACCGCCTCAGCTCGGCGCGAGCCCCGAATAACCGCAGCCGCCGCTTCGCTTTCCAAAGAGCGCGAGAGTTTTTAACAAATTGGGTGTAAATTTATGATTTGAAGCCTCTCGGACGGAGCAGAGCGGCCCGTGATACATCACCGGAGGGGGTGGGGCGGGAAGCCCGTCCCGGGCGGGCTGCCAGGCGCCCCCGCCGCAACCCACCCCCGCCGCGCGTCTCCTCAACCCCTGCAGGCCTCTCCATTTGCCCGATGGGAATTAGACGAGCGCGGAATTTTTTCGCCCCCCCTTTTTTTATTTTTCCCTTTTCTCCCTTTCTTTCTCTTTTGAGTGCGGCGCGGCGCCTGGCCCAGGTTCACTCGCAGCTCACCCCTCCGGTCACCTTTTTCCGCCGTGCACTCTGCGACCCACCATACTACCGTACTCCTCCGCGACGGCCGTTCAGTTGAAATGGAGCCGATAGTTCTTCTGACGCGTATTAGGAATATGGCGGAGTGAAGCGTCTTCTGTCGGTGTGATGTGGAGCTCCAGCCTCTATAGGACAGGGGGCTGTGTTCTCTCTGCTGGTTCCGCTGGACGGACCATAGTATCTGTTTCGAGCAGCGTATAACGCAGGTTGCCCCACGTCCACTTCGCGGGGTATGCGTATGTTTTTGCTGTGGCTGATCTTTGTCGGCGGTTGCCAAAGGAAAGGCGCATTTCGTCGCGCATTTCATCCTTGACCAGCCTTTTATGAGGTATTAACAAAGTGAAACTTCAAAGAGGATCATGATTCTGGCGGGGTTTCAACAGCTTCCTACATTTCTTAAAATTTTCTTTCAGACCTTGCCAATGGGTAGTAGTTTTTCTCCCCATCATCCCCCTCACAGCCTCCCCAACCTACGCGGCATTGGGGTTCGGAAAGCTGCTGCCACTCCATAC